TTATTATTTTCAGCTACTAACAAAACCTCAAAGGTTAAGTTTGAAAATGGATTTGAAAATGTTAAATGTTCAACATTGGGAGGTTAATTTGTTGCCAGAAACACTAATGGAAAATCATTTAATTGGTTAAATCACTATTAATTGACTTGCTATTTAAAACATTACTTTTAAGAGAATGGAGATTGCCATCATTTATCCCTGGGGCACATTTTGTTATCAACAAAGTCAAAAGTGCTCTTTTTGTTATTTTAAAGTTGCCTTCCCTCAACCTGTACTTTTTCCAGATGGTTTACAAAGTCCATCATGCAGTTTTTACCTGTGGATGATGGGGATCCACCATATTTGGATACTATCTGGTTGGGAACGGCTGCCATATGCATAGGATCTCACCTTTACAACTTGTTCAATATACTTTTGTCACTGATCTGCACCTCTCTTTCTTCTTCCTCTCTCCCCTCCACTGACTGCATAATGTTCCCTCACCCATCAAATGCCTTTTTATTAAAGGTAAATAAGGAATTATTTTAAAGATTATTAAGAAATGATATGTTTATTTCAGGTAGAGGGCACTGGTCCATTGCAAGTGTAGTGATAAGTAGTTAGCTACAAAAAACAATCAAGGAAAATAAATTATTAATTAATACTGTTTTGAGTGCTTCTGAGCAGATGCAAGGCATTTTTTCTGTACAAATGAATTATTACATCCCCTTTGCCTCCCCACTCCCAACTAAGCAGTAAAATCTACAAAGATTAGTGGTAGATTACATATTTTGCATGCATAACCAGGGATCCCCAGTCATAGGATCTTCAGATTAAAAGATTAAATTAAATCTTGCTATTCTCTAAAAGCATATTCTCTATATACTTTTTAATTTAAATCTCTCAAGTTTATACTGTAAATCTAATAAAATTAGGTGATTCTGCACTCATTAATTTTGTTGTATGTCTGTATTTCACATGATACAAATGAAATGTTTGAAGCAAAGGTTCAGGAACGAATTGAAGTAACCCAAACATAGATATAGTTAAAATATCTTAACACATATACTCTATCGATGTGGCCTTGATTGCTGAGAAAAATGAGCTCAATAGTTCTAACTAGATCCCTCAAAACATCCGACACACTAAAGGAAGGGGTGGGTAAAAAGCAGAAGGACCAAAGGGGATTAAAGATAGAGAGAGAGGCAAGAAGAGGAGGAAATGAGGAAATGGGAAGTAAGGGAAACATTTCACTTAATTATCCTAGTGCCTAGTAATATATGAGCAATAATACACTAAATAGGTTAATCACAGCTCATACCATCTATTAATATACATTACAAAATAGAATAAAATAAACAGAGGAAGAGAATTGAAGAGTCCTATCCCATTCCCAAGAATGACAATACCAATTTCATGGTTTGAGGAGACATCAGCTTTTCAGGCCTAAAGGGTCTACTGAAAGGGCCATGGTTGCTGCCTTATTGCTTTCTGCTAAGCAAACAAATCAATTTTGTTCAACATTCACACACATATTCTATTTCTCCATTCCAGGAAAAGCCTTGCCATTGACTTCCTTATAGACAGATTAAAACTAGAAATGAGCCATGTGATACCTTTCCTCCAATCCAATCTTTTTTCTGCTGGGGCTCTCCTGTTTTATCTAATCTGGCAGAGAGAAATAGAATCTCACACATAACAAATTGCAATGACTTACATTTAAATTCTTAAAGTATTGGATTAACTTCAGCATTAGTAAGGAAATCCACAGTGTCAATCCACAGTTGGGGGGCAAACCAGGAAATTAAAGTCTTAATGTTTCCATTACATAGTTTTCTTTTTAATTTCTGGCTATAAATCCTATTTTTTTTGCTTTTATTGTATACTGCTTTGGATTTTTAAAATTAAAAGCAGTGTAGAAATCCTCTGAAACAAAAGCCCCATCTGCACTGAAGTGAAAAACAAATTCAGTCTCAAGACTTCTGGATCCAAGGGGAGGACAAGCAGTCTGCATATGTGGCACCCACAATGGGACAATATTGACAGCACAGCCTGCATGCATTGTTGTGTGAATGTGCATATGTATGATTAATTTGTGTGGATGTGCTGTACTGATGGTATTGTTGTACTAATGTATCCTTGTGCAATCAGTTTGTGTTGGTGCACTGCACTGATGGTGTTATTGGGCTAACGTGTCATTGGGTGATCAACTAGCACATCTGCAAAAGGAATGACATTGGAAGAACTGCACAAACTTGAAATGAAATTGCTGTGGCTGGGGATTTGGAAGTTATCATCTAGAAGAAGTCAGCTGCTCTTCCCTCTATAACTGCACCACATGCACAGTCCACACACCCAGGGGATTCTCCAGAATTTTTGGCCTGATCCAGAGCAAAATGGGACTCTTTTTACTCCAGAGAATAAAGATTGGACCTGAGCTCTACCCATTTTTGTCCCATGTAGGTCCCACAAAAGTGCTTTGGTCATTATCAGAACCTGGTGAACATCTACTTTTTACCCAGTTGTTCCCACCCTTCTCAGTCTTGTGCTATTATAGCACAGCTATAATAAGTTCCTTCCTGCAATAGTAATTAACACATGGCATGGCATTTTTAGGAATTGGCTGTACAAAATATTAAATACACTGCTAGTACTGAAAAATCCCAGTGCACATGACCAAGGAGGTAGCCACTTCAGAGATAAATTGGAAGTAGTCATCATGTGCCATGCTGTTTCTCAGCCATATAAAGGCACATGGGTGATCTCTGTCCAGAAGGCAATTTGTAATTCCAGGAGGCTACCAGCAATGCAAGAACCAATAGTCCTCAGTTTGCTAGCCAGATGGCCTTCTCCTGTCTAAAAAAATTCTTTCTCCTCCAGTATACTTTAGAGAGAAAGAGCTCTAAATATTGTGTCACTTGTATTGTTAGCATCAGTGACAATGATGGCAAAGTTAGCTGTTGATATTTCCCCTCTTTTTACCAGAGAGAAGGAAAAAAGTCAAATATGCTAGCATCTATCACAGCACTGAATTATACAAACATAGATGGCACAATTGCTTTTCACATAGTCCTGTATCTTTATGCATTGACTCAGGTTGTAGATCACATTTAGGTTAATGACCCACATGTAGTGGCAGTTTTGCCTTCTGTGACACCAGATGGAGGTATCAGAAGCATTCCTTTCTGACAAAGCATTCAGTGAACAGACTAAAAGCCTCCACACTTCCCAGTAGCAGGAAATGTTATCTGTGCCATAACTTGTGAAGCATTTTAAACAGAATAGTTCATCTATCACAGTAACTAAGCCAAAGAAGATTTGAATATTGTTTAGTTTTAATATTGTCTCCTTTGATTATGTATCCTTCATGAGTAGTGGAATCCATTCTAGAACTTCACTTCAATGGAGACAATGAAATATATCTGGTTTATGAGAGTTTTCTTAAACCTCAGTTTGGAGGGCTATATATATATTGAGATATGTCAAGTTTTTTTATGAGAGATTGCTTTGCTGTGAATATTCATTCTTCTGAAAAACTACTCTAGATGCATAAAAAAGTAGCTCATTCAGCAAAGTACATGCAGTGTGAATAATGAGAAAAAAGGACAGTTTTCAAAGAGACTGATGAATATGAGATATAACACAATAGCTGAAAATGCATTCTGTGTTGAATGATCTTTTGGGGTTTGATCCTTTTTAAAGTAAGGTTACACAGCACTGAAGTAACATTTGTGAAACTGTACAGATAAATGGCATCTGCATGGTTGTAACAGTATTTTTTAATGTCTAAAAGAAAGAGCAGAAAACTAGATGGACTAATACTTCTTGTCCTTGACTGATAAGAAAAGTAAAACAATAAAAAAAAGTGGAACTTCTGTGGGAAACTGTGTAGGAGAGAAGCTCACACTGATACTTACATGAGGTGTAGATCCCAGAATGGAAACCAAGCAAAGGAAAAGCAAAGAAAATAAATTAAAACTCTCATTTACATACAACCTCTCAACCAGAATTGGAAAATTAGATGTATAGACTACAGTTTCCAGCCTTCCCCAAGCAATATGGCCAGTGTCCACAAATTAAATTTCCAAGCTTCTGTCCAAACCAGGTCTTTTATACCTCAAAGCATAAGTCTAACAAACATAAAAGGTCTAGGAGCAAAGTGCATAACTGGCATACAAGTATTGACAAATACAGTCAAAATGTGATAAAACAAGAAGACAGAGCAAAATAGGCTGATCTATCTGTGGTTTCCAACACACCTAATTTGGTACTAAGAGAATGACAGAACAGGAGAAAACATATCCAAAGGATCTCAGAGAGCTCAGTTGAAAGGGAAAGCTAGAGCAATAATACAGCCTGTAAATATGATAGTATCCTCCAGTTCAGAGGAACCAGATTTCAACCAGTGAGAGTTCTTGCTTTTTAGAACTCAATGAATAAGAAAAATCTGGCAGATCCTGCTTCTCTCACCATGGTGCAACAGCAGCTTGGACACCCAAAACAAAGCCAGAAGCAGATGGGAAAGCAGAAAGGAAGCTAGCTAATCAGCTGACTCAATGCAACAGGAAGGCACATATCCCTCTTCTGCTAAGATGCCTTTACACAATGGTTTGGATTATTTTATATTGATTTGACTGGTTAGATTACTTACATTTATTTATTTATTTATTCATAAGAATATCTATATCCTGAGAGCTAAGGTTGTGTAAGTGGTTTGAGCATTGGACTATGATTCTGAAGATCAGGGTTTGATTCCCTGCTGAGCCATGGAAACCCACTGAATGACCTTGGGTGAGTAATATACTTTCAGCCCCCCCCCCAAAAAAAAAACAATGACAGACTTGCCCTAGAGTCATTATAAGGCAGAAATTTCTTGAAGGAACACAACAACAACAACAACAACAACAACAACAACAACAACAACAACAACAACAGCAAGAAAACAAAAAACTCTATACCCTGACAAAGCATCTAACAGCATAACAACAACAAGAACAAATCCAAACTGAGCTCAATGGACTGCAATCGCTTTCTGCGCTGCACTGAAATGTAACCTCTTTCTGCAGCAAATCAATGCAAAGGCCAAGATCTACATTAATGCATAACTCTGCCAACAGTTCTATCTCCTTTCACATTCTAGCAGTTGTCAAGCCACAGTAGGGGCCCTACTGGTGTTGCTTACTAGTGGAGGAAGGAGGGAGGGGGAGGCAATTCAGACCACAGACAAGCAGTTGGTCTCAGCTCAGTTGTGGGGGAAAGAAACAAGAGTAGTCTCAAATGGAGTGCACCTAGCTTTTCCTTCCCTCAGAAGTTCAGATAAGCCATATCTTCAGAGGTGATTTGACTTTGCCTTCCTTTGAGGCTGAGAGTGTGATTTGCCCAGGGTCACCCAGTGGGTTTCCTTGGCTGGGTAAACATTCAAACTCTGGTCTCCAGCATCATGGTCCAACACTCAAACCACTCCACCATGCTTGTAAATCCATTGTACACAGCACATTTTTAGACAGATCTCAATCATTCTCAGTATTTTCCAGAGGCTGGTGAGAAAACAATCACTTCTCATTTAGGTTCATTAATAAAAACCCTTACATACAATTACTGGTAAACCTATTCCTAGATTGCACAGCCCAACTCATACCGTTAATTGATCATAATTTCTTTAATCATATATGAGCTGTAATCTTAAGAGATCAGCTAGCATAATCCACTGAAACATCCCTGGATCTTCCAGCTGTAGATCTTACACATTTCCCTCCCAAACTGTGCTAGAATGTTTTTGAAAGAGCTCACCTTCTAGTAAGCAGAGTAAACAGTAATAGGTACACTTCCTTTTCCAGTGAAGCCCTGCAACATAGTAGGAAAAGCACACAAAGAAATACAGTCACCTCTCCTTTCTCTTGGACTTAAAGTCCACAGTTTTGCATATTCACAGAGGGGTGACCTCTGTCAAAATCAATGGGGTGAGCCCATGGGGGTGCATCCCATTCAAGCCTATGGGGCTTGAATATTGCAGAATCTCCATTTTCGTGGTAGGTTCCAGAACGGATCACCCATGAAAATGGAGGGCCAACTGTAATTCAAAGTGAAGTAACCCCCTAAGCAGATGGGCAGCCATGGGCCGCCTTGGGAAGGTGCACCGCAGGATGAGGCATCCCCATGCCTCGATCCAGTGGCGCACCGTCGGCGCCCCTGGAAAGGAGCACTAAAATAGCGATCCTTTCATATGCGCTTTCATAGCACTCAAAGGAGCGCTAAAATAGCGATCCTTTCACCTTTTGCGGCGCACTTCCGGGTGACTTTTCCACCACAGCGTGTCCGGACACTGCGGCGGGAGGTCCTCCTTGGAGCGCCGGCCATGCAGAGGGCCGGC